GATAAAAATGGCAAAATCCCGGTCTCCGCGTTCGGCCGATCCGCTCCGGGATTATCATCGATTCCCTGGCGTCCCCGGCAAACGTTGGCCGTACCTTGTTTATGTGTAACGTTATATCGGCTGTTCGCGCGCGAGTTTCATTTGTATTTTATGTCCGGATCGCGACCCATCGCTGCAGCGCGGAGGCGCGAAGCTCTTGCCCGCGATCGGAGTAATAGCCAATAAAGCCCGTTATTTTGCAATCAACACGCGAGAGAAACGCTTGTTTTCTTTTATGCTGAGTTCGTTAGGCGAAGCGAGCACAGGTTTTTGCAAACGCTTATCGGGAATATAGTAATTAAACTGCGACAATCGCGTTTCGATACGACGTCGTAGGTTATCGTAAGCAGTGCAATCAAAATTGGCAGAAGATAATGTGTTTTCTTCTTTTAAAAACAAACATTGGTTTTTTAAGTATGTTTTTAATATTTTATACATGATATTTAAGTAGCATTACAAAAAACATGTTTAAGACATGTTGAAGACATCGATTAAGCATGTTTAAATTATTTAAAACGTTTTTTTACCAATTAAATTTTGAATGCAGCATACATCGCGTAATATGCTAATAATAAAAAAAATGTAAAAATTTTGGCCTGCAAATTTGATTAATAGCTTCTTTATATGTAATAGTTATTATAAAATTTTATATTCTTATTAAGTTAGTGTGTTAATAATATATAAGTGTTACTTTGTTATATTTTTCATAGTGTTAAATTTACAACATTGGGTACTATTTCAAAATGTCTCTTAAAAAAATGTTTTATATTATATTTTTTTATTAATGTATAATACAAATTAAATATAATTATTTTATTACATAACATTAAATAGATTATTTCTTATTATTTATCTTTTGTTTGTCTCTTATCTTGAAATAAAAATATAATTTAATAATTACAATAATTCGTATAATACGAATAAATAGTTAAATTTTATCGAATTTTACATAATTAATGAATAAATTTCAAATTAATACGTTTTAAATTGCGTGTATCATTATGTTAATTGTTTATCAGCAAAATAAAATTTGCGAATTTTGATAATTGATTTTATGGAAGTGAAGCAACTGCGTGTGACATTTCATATTTTGATATCTCTTGCAGTTGTCATTTAGCCAAATTAATTTGTGGTCAAAACAAAAATTTATAAAAAGAGCTTATAACAATCATATTTTACACAAATTTACATAATAAATAAAAAAAAACAATATATAAAAATTGAGTAAAAAATATTTTTTTAAATACATTAGCTTTGTTATTAGTATTTAATGTTATAAAATTAACAGTTAAATTATCAAAGAGTAATTAATATAATATTTATTGTTGATGCAATATAATACATATTTAAACGACCAAATACAATGTTGAATATAAAATTATTAAATTCTGTTAAATAAAATAAATATTTGAAAAAAATATAAAGAATAATATCGCTTCTTTACTTCAAAAATGACACAATTGAAAAAACGTGATTTTTTTTTAGTTATCAAATGAGTTAATCCTTCGATGCCATTCTATATCGTTTTGTCACGTATCTACTACCCTAGATATTGTAAAATATTACATAAAAATGATCATTTATAACAAATTGTTTTCAATCAAACTACCAGACATCAAGGAATATAATATACAAATACATATGTATACGTATAGTTTCAGATTAATAAAAAAAATTATAACATAGCAAAGTAAAAGAAACGTCATTATCTTTATGACAGGATAACTTCGCCGGTATATTAATCAATCGAGTTATTTGCTCGCACTTAGACGCCATATCTTTTTTACGTATATTTATATGTAAAAAAGCTTGCGCCCCTTTTTACGGGCGATAAATTGTTACAGTATCGAGAGCATTCTACGAAACGAGATGTAGCAGCATTTGCATGTTATCTCCTGCTCTTTCGCAAAATTACGCTCCCGTTACGCTCTCAAAAAGCACAGGATCGAGCGCGCACAATGGCGTTATCTGGTACGCAGCTTAGAGCGGCACTCCGTGCCTCGGAATTATTTATTGCACTTAATCACCGATCTGCGGCACTTGGTAGCAGTTAACCCATATTTCCCCCGGCTTAATGGCGAAAATAAACAGTATTCGCGGCCCGCCGAACACCTCCTCGAGCAAATGTCTCGCGGGCATCGTGTGCCATATGCGAAACGTCTAATCGTGACGTTCCGCCGTTTGCACGTTACGCCCAGCTATTTCGTGAAGATGCATTTCCATTTGCTCGCTCATGCAATTCCACGTCAGAAGTGCCTTGCTTGAGCGATGATTCGGCATTATGCTAAGCGATGTAAACGTCGTAAACCTAAGATATATGTATATAGCGATGAAACTCCGAAGGACTTAAAAATTAGAAGCTTTTATTCCCTTGCCTCTAACTAGTAACAGATTGTTCAGTAAGTTACTCCAGATTCATATCGCGCGACGCTGCATTTAATATCCGCGTAAATCTCCATCTGATTAGCGGAGTGCGAGATAAAGCGTCGCTAACTTAATCGCCGCGCAGTAACGCCGACGATCGTCCACTGGCAACATTATGAATCCATTTAAGGTTCGTGCGGGAAAGCATTATGTTTCCGCGTTTCGCGAAAGCGCATCCTATGCGGCGCACGTTTCATGCATTTTTATCCCATTTCAAGAAGTGCTACGTTACATGCGGTATGCACCTACGTTATGTAAACGTTCCTACGTCTCTCTCTCCTGGTCTCTAGATTATTTATTATACTAATTACGGAATTGCGGCCGCGCCAGAGTTCTACTTCCGAGCTAGCTTGACGGCGTGAATAAAGTTTACGGTGGGAATAAGTTGCACCGCAAACGCGCGGCCCTTTACGGGGGCGCTCGGTAAAGTTTATCGAAAGCATTTAGCCCAATACTAACACGTACATTGAATTAATTTAACTCGCGCGCGATACCGCGCTTCCTTCTTTGTAATTGGTTTCTCGAGGGGTGGACAAAGGGGATCGTATACGAGGATCTCCTTCCTTTGGGCGGTAATAGAGGCGCCGCCGACTGCCTTTCGCTTTGATCGCTCCACTGGAATAGGATTCGCAGCAGCTCAGAATCGACGGAAAGACCGGCAACGGGAGTACCCGATGACCGCAAGAGCTTCGAGTGGAAATTACCAAAAGACAACCGTATTTCAACGCCGCGCCGTCGGGATCTCGAAACACTTTGCGACTACAGAATTCTGAACGCGAATAAAGTGTTTTCCGATCGCGACAATCATTTGCGAGCTCGTCTTTCTCTCTCTCTCTCTCTCTCTCTCTCTCTCTTCCTCTCCTCTATCATTCGTCTCATTATTTCGTATAGAAAAACGAACCAGCAAGATTCGAGAAAAATGGATTGTTAAAATCAACTTACACCGCAATCGAATGTGACTTGTACTATGATCGTCTTCTTTCGCCACTTTTTAAGTTTTTACTGTCTGTAAGCATATATACATGTAACTTTTATCAGCATTTGTTACCGCAGGGTGCGTAATCCTCGCGAAATGCAATAAATGCAGAAATACAATACTGTCTCACCTAAATTTCATCGCATCTATTACTAATGAAACAATCACTTTAATAGAGTTTATATCAAAAATTACTTTATTATACTACGTATTGTTGATTGAACACTTTAGCGAACGTTGACGAGATGCAATCAATTATGTTAATTGAGTTAATTATGCATGATGATAGATTTGGCATACTGCATAAGTAGATCATAGTGTTCATATTAATATTTTCAGTCAATTTCTACATAATGTAATAATGTATTACAATGTCATTGTATTAAACAGATAAATAGTCATTTTCGTTTCCCTCTTAAAATTAAAAATAAAATCGTTTATTAAAAATAAATTTCTCTATTATTCTATTATAATTCCATTATCCTATTATTATAAATAAACGCATTTAAAATTGTCGATGTTAATTAAATGTGTCAATTTATTTCTTGCATGAATCGATGACACTGCAGTTTGAAAACTGTTCTCTCTGTGAGAACGGAAATGCTTAGAAAGCAAAATATCTTTCTTCGTGAAATGGAAGAAGGAATGGAAATAGAATTGAGATAGGCTTAATCGTAGGAGAAATGTCTCCCCAAGAATAAATCCTTCATTCTTTCAGTATCTTTTATCGAATAATAAAACACAACTGAATGAAAATATCATGTTTTTATGCTTCCGTCTCTATGCATTTAAATAGATATAATTCTAAGAGAGTACGTTGTCTCACAAAAATTATATTACTAATTTATTAATAACTTTGATATCATAATCTTTTATAGTAGATAATTTTCACAATTCAAAATATGCAAATTATACAAATAATATGCGCCTCAATCGATCGTATAAAACAAAATGTATAAAAATAACATAATATTTTCATTTAAAAAAAATCTTGCATTAACAGACGGAGTCATCAAATACTAGAGAGAAAAGTTTTTGGATAAAATATTAGTAAAAGATCAATTACGTGTCAAATTATACATCAAAGAAACCTGAATAGACCAATAGATTTTAAAGTTGTAATTTAGTATTATCCACAAAGCATAGTTTTTCTAGCTAGATATTTCCCATCACTTATATAAAGTCGACTAGTACATAATAGATTTGCAATCGCAAATCGATAGAACATTAAATCACGTCGCGAAGTTTTGATTCGCGACGTGAAAAATTTACCTGGATTATTTATGGCTGACCCACTTTCTGACCAGCGTTTAATCCTAAAATCACATTCGGAGATAGCGTGCATCAATCAAACGCGTCGCGACGATTGGCCATGTGTAAATGCATTGCTGGAATAATGCATGAAATATACTGTGTACACTTTGCGAATTCTAATCGCGATTGTATATTATGGTTCAGTGTCAATAAATATTCTTCACACACACATGTGAACAAGACGTACTGTTATATGCGCATCGATTGAACGTCTTTTACAGCGAGATGTTTTTTTTATTGTTTGCAGGTGCAACAGGTTTGAAAGATCTGACGATAAACGTCCCGAAAATGGTGAGATCAGGTGAATCCGTAACATTGTCATGCCATTACGACCTGGAGGGCTTACCTTTGTACACTATACAATGGTTTTTCAATGATCGAGAGTTTTATCGCTTCATACCTGACCGCAATCCATCGCCACCCTATAGCATTTTCGACGTGGATGGTATACAAGTTAACGTAAGTAATTTAGCCATAAATGAGTACAAATACGTGAAAATTCCTATCACTTATGAAAAGTCGTTAGCCAAAATATAAATTTGCAGTCGTTGATTGATAGAACATTAAATCACGTTACAAATAAAACATGTTAACGTAAAAAGTTTATCTATATTAAATTATCTATATTTATTTAAAGATATATGTTTATAAATTTATGAATAAATTATGTTTTAGAAATGTGTTTTACCTTTTTTTTTTTTTAAAAAAATTCTTAATTCTTACATTTTTTCTTAATTAATTCAATTATGCATAAAAAAATTGGAGAATTAGTATTATAACATATAAATAGCTTGTATATTTGTCACGTTTTCGTGATGTAAGGAATTCATTTTTTATTCTTCTTTCTTTATATTTCTCGCTTTATGTATCTTTAAACGTTCTTGCTAGATATTTTTATCATTTCTCTTTAACCAATTTTTAATTATAATTGAAATTTAACAAAATCTTAAATTTTTTATCATAAAAGTGTCTAATGCATCAAAAATTAAAATGTGAAGAAAGATATAATCACATATAATTATGAAAAAATCAAATATAAATTGTTCGGATAATCAGTAAATAAGAAAATTCTCTGAAATATTTTCCTATATGTGTATATTTTACATTGAGTATAACCACACACACAGTGTGTCTTTTAAAGTAATAACTGAGTCACCCCGACTAGGTTTAGCTTTATTACATTCAACTTCTCAATTAACTTGCAATAAAAATCTTATCTCTTTAATAACACTTTCGTGAAAGTTTATTATACTAATCTCGGTAATACCATGGTGCTCATTATACGGATGGAGTTTCCTCGATAAATCAGCCCTTAATCCATGAAAAAGATTCTACGCGGTACTAGAATAAATAAGCTTAAAGTTTCAAGTTTCGCAGTTAACAATTTTATATTGTGTCATGGAATTTAATCATAGACATTCAAGTTTCAGCAAAACAATATGCGCGCAACTTAGATAATATGAAAGAAACTTGAAATTCAATTGGTTAATGTCTTAAATCACTTTAAATTAATACTTTAAATCGCAATGTGCTGCATTGTTGTACGATGTGTATCATAAATTTCTCAAGAGATGCGCATATCGATGGACCGTTAGATCCATTTATCAAACGCGCTCTCTCTTTCGAAGAGTCGTTGAGATAAGAACTAAAGCCGGCCCGATTTTTGCGCTCGCGAGTAAACGACGAGCTATCTTTTTGCGACTCGCGTCCGATCCGATCGTAATCTATTTTTCTACGGAAAACACAGCCAGCAAGTAGATTCGATAAGAGAGATCTAGTCGCATTCTCTCGCCGAGGGCGAAACTTCTTGTCGCTCTCTGGACAACCGATCTTCCTTTTCTCTCCCAACCGCCCTTTCTAATCTCTCATGCATCGGGGTGCCTCCATTTTTCCGCCGATATGGCCACGACGAAGGCAAAAGTTTCTGTTGCGGGTGGTGTAGAGTGAGGAAAAGAATCGATAGACTGATTTATGGCATGTACTACGACCGCGACACGGCTTGAACCTGGGTCAAGCGAGTTCCGTGTTTTACGGACGTCGATTCAACGTCGCCGCAATCGCGTCGCGAATCTGCCCCTTCACGTCCCTTTTTCTCACGTTCTCTTAAGGTGTGGCTCTCCTTAAATTTTCCGACGCTCGAGAAAATGGAATCCCCCTTTCCGCAAGAGAGAGCACTCGGCGCGAAAGCAATATCCTGTAGGTTTGTATAACGACCTCTCAAACGCGCTCACACGTCGGAGAAAAATGTTAGAGATTAATCCTAGGTACATGGTTGCACTTATTGAGTATGTTTGAGAAACGCAAATAATTTCTGCTATTTTCATACATTTACATTTCACATTAATTTAATAAATACGAGATGGTTTAAATCTAGCGAACAAGAATTCTAATATTATAGTTTGGCAAAACCATCTAGATTTACTGCATGGAAAGAACTAATCTACTGAAGTGTAGATAAATACGATTCTGAAAATAATTTTGTTGGGCCATAAAAATAATTATGCAAAAACGCTCAACTTGATTACTAAAATATCAAAATTTTTTGCAATATTCATCATACTTGAGATTTCTACGTAATTATTTTGATAAATAATTCCAGCAAAACTATTTTCAGATCTGTATCTAACTAATTTTTTAATACTTCAGCAAAATTGTTCTTCTGTGTGGAATATTGATTATTAATTTTTTAATTTCGATATTATCAATATTTAGCTTCTTTTACTAATTTTGAATTTTAGTGTGCTTTTCACAATATTAACAATGTAAAAAAAATTAGACGTTAATCAATACTCGAAAGATAAATACATGATAGAAAATCAATTTTTTTATTTAAGAAAAAATAGTCTGATATCTTCAATCTTTGATGATATCTACTTTCTTCTTATAAATTTTGTAGATTTATCTTGACGATTTAGCTAACAAACATTTTGGATGAAACACCACACGCACAAGGAAGACGTATATTTTGTAGCATGTACATTTAATAGCGTCCTAAACTGGTTTCCTTTTTACTTCCTATTCTGTTATACCTTTTGTCCGACGACTCAAAGGAAGCATACCGAAGTCCTGCAGAAAAATACTCTCATGGGATCGACGTGCTTTACTGATAATTACCGCAAAAGGGCAGTCGTACAGACCGCGAAAGTGGAAAAGAACTTTAGAAAGAAGAAAAACGTAACTCAAAGAAAAAATATGGGTAAAAAAAATAATATAGCAAATGATATTGGCTTTAAAAAAAGTAATAAAGAAGAGAAAAATTGGAACAATCGGTAAAACATTACAGAGAACATGGAACATAATGCACAAGAGACTAAATGAATTATTGAGAGTGAGCAAGGAAAGACAAGGTGAAGAGAGAAGCAATCGAAAAGAGAAGAAGTAATGGAAAAGCGAGATGGAATTCGCTTGAAAAGTGTCAGATGACTTCTGCAGTTGTGAATATTTCTGAGACAAGCAAGGATGATGAGAGCAGAAAAATGATATGGAAAGAGAAACTTATCGAGAAAAGCTGTGATAAAGTGACACTGACGTTATAGATACAGGGGACTTTCATCTGACGCAAGACTAGTCTTTCCGATTTCTTCCTTCAAATGTGACAGTAAAGATTCAATTTTTCCAATTGGAATTCTGCATGAATTCGGAATTATTTTACAAGATTTTCACTTTATGTGCCTCGCGATACACTCATAAAAGCGATATAGTAAAATATAACTTTTGTGTACTAATCCCTATCATATTTCAAAAAGATCCAAATACGGGATGATTGGAAGCATAAATTCTTGTACAAGAATATTTTTTTTTACTGGGCAGATTTTTATTAATATTTTACTAACATTGGAAATGACCGGATTGTTTGATCGAAATGTATGTTATATGTTATCACAAAGATTATTAAACATTAAGCAACATCAATCTAGCTTTTGCTCTTAGCTCTTCTATATTTATTAATTAATATTTGTGTTTATATGTTCTTTTTCACTGGTAAATTTAAAATTAATTCAATATGCCGAACAAATTTTTTGTTCAGTAATTGTTTCCACCAAACGTTTTTTTTTTTTTAATATATGTACAACTAAAAGAATTTTTTTGCTTAATTGATAAAAATATTACTAGAAAATGACATTGAGTTTTCAAAAATGTAAATTATATTAATTAATATATGCATATTAATAGTTAAATATTAAAGAACCATTAAAAAAGTTAAGGAGAAAAATTTATTCATGTAAGGGTCAAACTCGGTATGACAAATTCTCAGTATGACAAATAACTTCTAGAACAATTTAACGAATGAACATTAATTCAGAAAATAACTGCATGGTAAATTATGACAGGACACGGGAGTAAGAGTAAAGCAAGTCGTGCAAGCTTTAAACTTGGCTCGAGCTGAGACAGATAGGAAGCCAGGCTGGGAATTTTCATGAGCATATAAAGCATCCTAAGTCGGTAGATAGAACGAGCAGGTATTGCCAGCATAATCTTTATACGGAGAATTTCCAACGTTCGCGCCGGTAAATAGTCGGATGGTGGACTGGAAAGGCGTCTTCGCGATCATTCGCTTCCGATGTCGCGGCAGTTACAATGAGTTCACTGTCGTTTTATCGCGAAATCATGTGGCAGCCACCGATAATCTCGTCTTTTTACAACACCACTTAACAATACCCCACTTGCCGATTATCACCGCGTTATCGTCGAGCTAAACTCGAAGGAGAAATGGCTTTGCACGAACGTTCGTAGTACGTGAGATGCGATCGCTGCTCTCTCGTGTGCGCCCGGAGAAGATTTAGGATAATAATTTTTCACTATTCGATTAAGTTTCTATCGTCTATCCCGATTGGCTCGTATATCTCCAACCGAGTATTTTCAGCCGATATAAGAATAGGCGATATTTGTTCCACGTGAGTCATGGTCCGTAATACCATGTAACGGTATTGAGCTATTGTTACTGCGATGTAATCGATGAATCGAAAGAGAATAGCGCGCTTGTAACGTTTTAACAAATACAAAGAATAAAATCTCGAATATTGCTCTGCTGCGGGCTTTTAAAGAAAAAAATCATTTCGAATATACTATCAAATATAACTATTTGAGTTAAGTATATAACATTTGCAAAAATGGATGTTCGTGGAAAACATTTTCTATCGTATAGATGAAATAAGTATGGACTATGCATTCTCTGATCTTAGCATTTATGTTATGATAGAAAGAATTGAATCTTGTCAGCATCTCTCCCAATTTTATCAACAACTCCCTTTAATATGATCCTTAAGAGAGAGAGAGAAAGAGGGTGATATAATTCAAACTTCACTCTTTATAAACGCAGACGTCATAGAAGTGCAAAATTTATTACGCAGGGAAAGAACGATTTTATTGAAGAATTAAAAAATTTAGCTATAGATATGCAAATCTGAAAATAACTTCATCATACTATTAAAATAATTGTATAGAATACTCAAGCATAATGAACAATGCTGCAAAAAGTTTTGACATTCTAGCAACCTGCTTGAGCGTCCTTAATAATTATTTATGGTCTAACAAAATCATTTTCAGTTCTGTATCTAAATTTTTAGATACTTCAGCAAAACCATTCTCTCCGTGGGTCTATGTTATGGAATTAACAATAGTTTATGCTGTCTGATCAACAAATGATACGAACTGATGATGTGGAAAATTAATTTGTCGTTGATTACTTAAAAGAAATAGTAACAAGTACACATTAAAACGTCTTCATTTCTTTCAAATTCGTATGTGATATTTGAAAGTAAAATCAATGCAATGTGAACAAGTCGAAATCTTTAGGTTGCCATTCATATTTAAATAGGTACAGATTTTACCATGTGTTACCGCGCATACACGTATTCGCTCGTGTGACTTCATTTAATCAAGAATGTAGGACGCAGACTGAAAAATGGGATGCATGTTCACACCTTTCATAAAGGAGGTAACGCGTGGCTCCCGCAGTTTCCGCCCTGGTAGATCCGAATACTCGCGGCGCGCAACCCCTTTCATTGATATTTTTCATCGAGCATCTCGTCCACGCCAATGCCAGAAGCGGAAGAAACGATGAAAAAGACCTGTCCCCTCATCCGATATAGTTTGTAAAGGAGGCGGAGACGCTCGCCGCGATGAATATAAATGCCTGCGAAGAGGAAGACAGCGATGTCGCAAAAAAGAAACGTGCGCGGGCAAATCGGAGGATCCAGATTTAAACGTGGAAAGGTTTGGATGTAAAATCGATCAGCGGTACAAAATGCAGAGCAGAGCAATATCAGCGATGCTTAATACCAGAAGGATTTGACGCGAATATCGAATGAAAAAGATGGGCGCTAAATTAATCCTCGTGAATTTGAAATTCTTTAGAGGACAAAATGTCTCTTTAACAAGACCTAAATCTGTTTATCGCTTATAATATTATGAGAAAAAAAGATCTTACAAAATTCAATTACGTACGAACACTCGAAATATTACAGTGTATTGCATATCATAATATATGTTTCTATTGTATCCTTCAGATCTTTTCTACGTTATCACAAAGTTATGCTTTACTTCAATTTTACTTTTGTTCAAAAACTTATCTTCATTTCTATGCTAACTTTTTAATACGAAATTTCAACGCTTTCAGACAAAATTTCACGTTGCCCTTTGCTAACTTCGAAGTTCTCGTGATAGATATGCGCGTTTCTCGGGCACATCCCAAAGTAGCATATGAAGTCGGAGCACGCTGCTGACTTATTTTTGACGTAGACGCCACACACGTGTTGCGAATCAATGATATGTCATCGTGATCGATATTGCAAGACAAGAAACTTTTGTTCCTCGATAAGAGATAGCTAAGACGTGATACTTTCTACAAAGATATTCCAATAAAAAATTCTTTTCCACGCAGTAATTTATATGTATAATAATACTGTCAGGTCTTTCTTTCGTTCTTCAAACACCTTTAAAAGCATTCCGAAGAATGTCATTTTGAAAAGAATTTTTGCGAATAGCGTTATACTCTTCAGTGACAGTTTCACTGAAATCCGCGCTTTTAGCGAAGTTACCCGAATGTACGATCGATACTTATTATCGTCTTCCTTCTCCAGACCAGCGAACGCGGGATAACTAAGTGCAAGCACGACTGATAATCAATTCTATGAAAATTTACTTTTCCGTCGTCTCGCTATTTTGTAATCGCGACATCCTTATCGTAATGCAAACTAAAAGAACGTCACCTAACTGGAGGCGGTGAACCATTCGTAATGAATATTCCTTGCGTCTTATTCACTGCTTTCGACAAACTTTCTCCCAACTCGTGATCACCGAGCATAAAGTTTAATTGGAGCAACATTGGAAAATGTTAAAATATAGACATTCGTTAAAGTTCCGTATGAATTATGAAGATCACGCGAAAATCATTTCTTGCCGGCAAATTATCTACATGAGAACACTGCCGAGTTTGAGGGTTTGGAACACCGTGCTTGTGCAGAGAGCGACTCTATAACTATTGACGAACCTCTTTTCATAAAAAATGAAACTTTTCGTTTCGGCTTACGGTCGTAAAAACTTGGCTATGGGAAAAAGGAATGAATTGCAAAGTAGATAATCAAAATGGATAGGGCGGAACGGAGCATAGGTGGAGCACGGTATATCAAGCTTCGCGTTTTACAGGTCTCCAAATCGAACACGAACGATGTAACATTGGTGAACGTGTCCAGAGAGCTTACTGGAACTTACAAGTGCGAGGTGTCCGCGGGCAGCCCTTCCTATCACACTGGGATCCAAAGGGCCAAGATGGAAGTAGTTGGTAAGTACGTGCGCACGTGTCGAAAATTTCTTTTTTGCTTCGCTCAAAGCTAAATCGTTCGTTTCGGAATTGTCCGAAATATATCCACACGCCGTTCTTTGTCCATCTCTGTATACTTGATTCCAAAGCGGTGATACATTTTGCAAATATAATATGGGGATCAACAATCGGCTGTAATACCGGATTTAAAGAAAATCGATGTGCTCTATAACGCTACAATAAGATATATCGTCCATTTCCAATAGACAAACTGAATCTATGCTTATTTCTCGATATTCTTGTAATCCCTTTTGATACACAACTGCATTTTTATTTTACTTGAAATATAATACGGTTTGCTATACTTTTTGGAACTTTATGCTACATGATCGAATAAGTATATAGATTAAATATGAAATAGATTCTGAATCTATGCTTATTTCTCGATATTCTTGTAATCCCTTTTGATACACAACTGCATTTTTATTTTACTTGAAATATAATACGGTTTGCTATACTTTTTGGAACTTTATGCTACATGATCGAATAAGTATATAAATTAAATATGAAATAGATAAAATATAAGAAATAAAATAAATATAAATAAGTATAAATATAAATTAAAAAATAAAATTCTCGACAATTTCATATCTTTGAAGTGATAATATTTATGCTAATAAGAAAATTACAGAAAGGTGCAGAATAATTTTGATCTCCAAATTGTGCTACGGAAAGTTCATCGTAATACGCAATCAAATTATAATAATGTAATTTTATTTTATCGTGTTTTATGATTGTCACAACTTGTCATGATTTTCTTGACCCTCTAATAGCAAGCTGACGATTTACTCGATAACTTTGTCTATTTTATAGCGCGCATACGGTGATAAAGAAAGAAGTTTCATGATATATATTATTTAATAATTAGATTTCATTAGTTTTTTGCAATGCAAAATATAAAGAAAAAACGATCTAAACGAGCGGTAATAAGATTTTTTAATTAATAAATTTTTAGTTTACACAATATTACTAAAAAACAACATAAAATAAGTTCTTTTACACATTTTATACATTGATTCGATGAGAAATGGAGAAAATGCTACATTGGGTCAAATTAACCTGTACATCCAAAGATCCAAAGATTATTATACCTTGAAAAAAATTTCCAGATGCCATTACTCTTTGATTTATTATAAAACATTATCGATAAAAAGACAATCATATTTGTTGTTAATAACAGAGTATTTTACTCTTAAATCCTTAAATCTAGAAAAAGATATGATCTTTTGAATATCAACTTTGTGTCAGATATTGTAATACTAGTGGAAAAGATTTATTCTAACCATAGACATATATTAATATTATAAATTATATGTGTTGCTTAAATAAGCTTGATTTTATCTCAAAATTTGTTTATTTAATTCAAAGGAGGAGAACAGAAATTTTATTAATCTAATTAACCTTGTTTTATTTTTATATCGCAATAAAATTAAGTATGTCAACAATATTTTTGTCTCGTTATCAAAAATCCTTTCTGAGAAAGTATCCTCTTGAATGTCAAAAAATTTACCCTGCCAATTAAGAATTATAACTTTTAAAGGAAAATATATAATTATTCGTTGACTGTTATACCCAGCTGTCTCTATACGAGGGAAAACCTCGTACATCAGATAAGCATACATAACTTCTGCACAATATCACGATGTAATGTAGATTACAAATTATTAAACAAAATGCGCGGCAGCGGTGCCGAGGGACACGTTGGAAACACTAGCCCTAGTCGTCAGTACCAAACATGACAGGGTCGTTGTTCAAGTGTTTCCGGTATGCTCTGTGACGCCCCCGGCGCCGTTGGCGTGTCGCCAGGTGTCGAGTTAGTGCCGTGGCAGCAGTCGCATGTGCTAAACGACATAATTATTATGCCTTAGACGCCCCAAAAACGGGTCCTGCGATTCGTACCGAGAAGGAGCGCATAGCAGTGGGCGAGACGCTACGAGCGAACTGCACCTCAGGCAAATCCCGCCCCGCCCCTGACGTTACGTGGAAGCTCAACGGTGACGCCGTAAGTACATATCGCCTCTCGCCATCCTCGCATCTCTCTTATCCTATATACGTCTCGACGTAGTCGTAGCTACGTGACCTTACTGGATGATTAGAGTTGCAACGACGGAAGACCTGAGACTTGCGCCTATTGCATTCTGTTTCATCCCGTTCCATTACGTCAATCCCGCCGTTCCTCTATCGTTCACTCGGGGCTTCTCTCCCCAAAACCACACCGATATCGGAATACGCGTTGCGAGATTTACACAAAAGAATCGACGTGTTCGACACGGCATACTGTAGCGCTTCCAACGAATTTAGTAGCACGTAACGTGATTTTGTATGCAAATTGATCAATTATCTGTAAAGGGAAACAATTGAGTGAAATAAGGAAAGGAAACTGTTACATAGAAATTCTTAATAAAAAATGCAGCCAAAAAATTGCAAAACCCATTAAAGGTAGCTCTAAAAAGTGTCTTATTGTTACGGATGACAAACGGCTAAATTTAGCCAAAAAATACATATAGAAATCGAATTTCATGGCTTCAGCATGTTTTTCATCTATTAAAAGTCATCGCAAAATACATTATTTGTATTTCATATAAACTTTCATATCCCCAGTTTACCGTCATAATTTAATATCGAAGTTTAATAAAGGATGAACTACAGTTGCTGTCACTTTGAAACATTCTGTGCACGTTCACATGGCCGACAGGATTGTCAATAAACTAAATCCGTGGATAGAATTTTGTTTTTGAATTATTAATCTACGATGTTAATTAAGATGATGTGAAACACGACCAATTATTTTGTCAATGTATGTATTATTTTTTTTATAAGTACAAAAACGTAATGAATACAATATTTTTATTAATAAATATATACATAATACATATATAAGCTATATTTTCTAAAAATGATCTAAAATTTTGAAAACAATTAGTAAAGCTCGTTTCTTCTACAGTTTTTTATCTACTTATTTTTGTTTATGAATTTAATACAAAATGATGGATTTATATATATATGCTATTTTTAAAAATGGTTTATGTATAGAAAGAGATTTTGTATTAATTTTTCATATATGATAAGATATAATTAATTTGTAGTAAAACAAGAAACAAAACTAAATATACATATATTTTACGATATAACTATGTACTGAAATTACGTTCTCAATATGTTCTTAATAAACATTTTTCTTTTGTGCAACAATAAAAAGAGAACAAACTGTAAAGCATATAAAATTAATTCGCAAAAATTAGAATTTCGCGTTATAATACATCTGATTTTCGACATCGCTTTATGACAACCGCGAACGAATTATCATCTGAATATTCTGATATTTCTGAACATATTTTGCATACATATGTAAATACCCTTTGTACACATACAATGGTGTTTAACTTGTCATACATTTTTTCAATCACTGCGACGTTTCCAATATATTTTTCATAATGTCCGTATGAAGAGTTCCACGCATAATTTCTCGCGCAAAATACGTTCAACGAATCACCCTGATAACAAAACATGTATACATTCGTCATTGGTTAAATTATCACCATGGACGCGAGATCGGGCTCACTTTATTGCTATTCATTATTCATAGATTTTCACGTAAAAACATCCATTTACGAGAATTCCTTTGATACGGAATTCTCGCTGGATATCCAAGAATCTGTATATGAACTATTTATTGTAGCACAAAACTCAGCATATATAGTGAAAATATTAATTAAAATCAAATCCATGATACGCAGCTGTGCATATAGGTGTGTTTATGTAATATTTTGTACTATTATGACAGTTTATTGATGCTACTGCATGACTAGCTTAAATAACGCAAACAAGATACGCTCGTGTTATACGATCACTTGATTAACTATAAAGACGTACCGGACCTTTCGTTCCATAAAGTAGATAAATCTCGAGGAACCTTCAAGTGGAAAAGCTTCGTACGCTAGTAATCTGTAGAGCTCTCCTGTTGAGTGCAACGTCAGACGAACTGCAATCGCATACCAAGGGAAACAAAAAAAAAAGGAAGAGAGAAAAGTGAAAGACAGGCGGTGAGAGGATTAAGTATATAGTTGCTCATCCGTATTTTTGCAATCCTCGAGTGCCCTATCGATTGATAAAGTTTCATCCTCAACGCTCCAATTAAATGTTTTAAGTGTACCCCCCTCTCTCTCTCTTTCTCTTGTCCTTTCTTGCTTTTTCTCTTTAAATTGCATTCTGTTTAATTTTCCCTGAGACCACCATTAATTTCGTTAACTGCTTATGCCATTACGTACTTTCATTCGCAGTATTTTATAGATCTCTGATGCTTTATGACTTAATCGCATTGGCATAATGGACGAAAAAGCATTTAAGAAAACAGGTTTAACATCTACGTTCCATATGTACATACGTACATATGTATACATGTGTGTGTGTGTGTGTGTGTGTGTGTGTGTGTGTGTGTGTGTGTGTGTGTGTGTGTGTGTGTGTGTGTGTGTATACATATAAAAACTGCATCACAGGTGAAATGTTGAAAAAAGAAAAACCCGATATCGCAGCCTTTATCTTGACGAGCGGATCCATTGCTTTCGCAGAAAATACCATTGGTTTAAATAACCAGGGCACGAGAGGCGCGATATTTTCCACTGAATATTCGTTTTCAGAGGCCGGGCGCTTTGTTTTTGAACGAGCAGATTTATGCCGTCCTTTGACACTTTTCATTCTGACGATTGAAACGGCGTAACTCACTTTCGGCCGGTAAAACTGGGAAAACGTCAGCGCGGCGAAACGGCGGTGCAGCGATTTAACGGAATAATTTAGTTGATTTAACGAAAGCCGCGAAATAACAATTTATTTGCATACCAGGCATACCCTTCAACCATGTGCGAATGTATCCGAACGAATCTTGCTGAATTTGATTTCTACCACCTCGGATTTCAATAGCTTCGCTAGAAAGATAACGCTTTATATTCTCGTCAAAGGTAAAAATATTGCGAGTGTACTTACTGTAAGGAATTAATATGATTCGTCAATAATTGAATGATTCAGCCCCGCCGTATTTATATAAATAATAAAATTCCTCTTTAAACATTTAATTGAAAATTCTCCATTTTTCATAGTATGAGTATGCATATTTCGTGGAATATCTATACCTACACGCTTTTATACATACATGCATGTAATAATTTATTCTAATTTGTATATGAATAAAATTTTAATTTTATAATAAATTATACTTAATTAATAATTTTGTTCTTTATATAACGTAATATTTTATGTTGAAACTCTCTAATGCACAAAATGATTATATCATTAAATCACATCATAAAAATTAAAAGTGTATTATATACTGTTACATAAATAATATTATTTTAAAAAAGCATTATTATTTTTTATTTCACATGAATTTTCATTTGGTTTACTCATTAGATTGCGCTTTTACTATGATAAATCACAATAAAAAATATACGAAGAAATGTTTTATGTGATTTTTTAACCTAAAAATAAATAAAGCAAAGATTATGCTAATCTGTATTATAAATTGAATTTAATTTACAACAAAAGTTATAATAAAACATACATTGTGACATAAGGAAAGAAATATTATCGGAACTAGTTGAACTGGATGTTAAAGAAATTCTCACTTTAGCCAATAATAACGAACGAGTAATTTTAAATAGACGTTTGAAAGAGCGCGTCAAATTGAATCACTTGGCTTTTAGAATAAAACGACTCGGAGTAAGCAACGACTACGTTTGGACGAGCGTAAGTGAAAATTCGCATTTCCGGCGACGAGAGGAACAATGGTCCTACCCTGGTGAAAGCATCCCCTGTCGAAATTGCACAAGAGTCGTCGTTTCGCCCCTCTCTATTTTCGGTTTTCGCCCTCTTGTCACCCATGACGTGTGTCACCCCGCTTACTATTCTTGATTCTAAGCACCGCTATTGTTGACAACTTCCTCTATAGTACTCCTAACGGGGCACTTTTCCTTTATTGCAGTGACACTTTTCGTTGATTTACCCACGATTCAATTATCCTTATTATTCGGCAATATTTAAACGTCTCCCCATTTTGTCCGCGAGTAACATACATTAATGTAATCAATAAATACATTAATAATATACATTAATGTTACATATTATTGATATATATTAATGAGATAATTTCCAAACCATAATTTTCATTTGATTATATTATCAAATCTGATTTGTCATACTTCAATTATCTCAATCTAACTTTTCCCTGTTAAATAACCACACAAATTTATATTAATATTAACGAATATAATAAAATCAATATTGTGTAATTTTTTACAAAAATTCTATTGAAGTATAATTTATTCTGTGGACGCAAAATTGCATTTATCTAATTTAGTTTTTATAATCTGATTTGTTTACTGATAATAATATTCCGACAATTTTACTAAAATAAAATGTTCCTTTACAAACTACGTTTATGAACTTGAGCGAACGCGATAACTTTAAAACACAATTAGAAATTAATGCTGAAAATTCCGTGAAGCACAGTGCTAATTCAAAAACGATCATGTGAGACGTCAGGCCGTGTCAGATGGAGATAATTAAACAACGTTATACGTCCGATAAGAGAAGAGAAATTAGAGAACTAAGATAAGAGGCGGAGATCTTCCTTTTCCTGGCAATTTCGTTCGAGACTTGTCCATTTAGGAAACGTAAAAAACTCTTATCAAGCAACAATTTCATGTAACACAGAGACTGGTCAGTGAGTTAGAAAATCGTTTTCATCGATTGGCCACCTGCTTATCCTCCTCTCTTATCCTCTTTTACTACCTTTCTCTCTCTCTCTCTCTCTCTCTCTCTCTCTCTCTCTCTTTCTCACTTACTCATTCTCTCACTCACTCACTCATTCACTCACTCACTTTTTATCCCTCTCTTTTTCTCTTGCGTGAACACGTATATAACTAACACATATACATTTGTCTGCCTAGGTAGGTATATAAGTATGCGCTTGATCCGCTGCCAAGAAAACTCTACCTCGGTTCCACCAATCTCAAATCAAGTTTTCGCTCATATTTTCTCGCCGCCAATATTTCCGCTTTGCTTCCCGCGTTCTACCGGAAAGCTTTGCCCTGGCATATGAAACATCCACCAATATTTCGGGCAAATAATCCCTAGTCACACAGCACGTGCATTCTCGTAAATTCGAGACCCGAATGCAATTTTCGGACTTTTACTGCGTTTTCTATGCACCTGATTTCCATTTCGAAAGTTCTACTGCCTGACCAGTCGGGAATATTCGTAAAACTGTTGCGTAATAAATTATGCAATGAATACACACACAAAACGAGAGCGAAAAATGAAGATAGATAATTTATATTAGTTGTGCAATATTTTTCGTAATTAAATAAATTTCTAATTTTGCAAATTTCTAAATTGCGTACATTTAGTTATACTACACGCAATATTAGATTCTATCCGCATACGCTTCTAGACATAGAGACAAATACAAGAGCTTTATTGTGGAATACAAGATCCACAATGTATCATAGGAATGTATATACTGTACAGAAAATGTATGCACGGCAAGCACAGAATATTACATTCACAAGGACAATGAGGGAGGCGAAAGCAAGCCCCGCAACCGAAATTCTATAACGCTAACAATGTGTCAATCAATCCTTCACTTGGAGGACATCTCTATGCGAGTAACGTCATGAAAACCCGCTTTCGGAGATATGAAGATTACACGTAATGCACTTTAGATTCGGAGCTGTACACGTACGCAAGAATTTCACCGACACTCTCGTGACATATAAGAAAAAGAAAAAAGAAGGTGCGAGAGAAGATGGCATCTGTGATGGCATCAGCTTTATGCTTTATGCTTTATGGATGTAGCCTGTATCCGCACGTGACACTGTACGCCCGCAGACATGATGTATGTTCTTGTTTGTTCTACAAATGATAACGTCGCCTTCGGAGAGTTCTCAGGATGTTCTTGTTCTCCCGTAACGTAGCGAACGATCGAAGACAAATTCGTTTCTTCTCGGCCATATATTCTTCTTGAAAGTAGTCCCTCGGTTCTACATAAAATAAGGTCCCTTCATGTGTATTTATTACAGATCACACAACACATTTATATTTTTCTTATAGAGTGAATGACATTGATGTTTACTAGTTCGAAAATAGCGAAAATTATTTCAGCCATCTCTCTCTACGAAAACTAATACTAGTTTACTTGGCTGAGTTTTTAAAAAATTATCTTAAAAAGTCTTCATACTCTCTCAGAAATCTCAACTAATGTAATCATTCATTAATTATCTATCGTAGGTACACGTTTCTACTTTGTATAATATTCTACTGTTTTAAATATTAAATGTAATATTGTAATTCTAAATTGCGAATTTTTTAATTGTGTCTCTAAATTCGTGTCTCTAAACCTTACAAATGTATTATCTTTATTTCCGATAAAAACATTTATGCATAATGAAAACAAACGTATGTTTTTAATATAAATTGATGTACCATAAAAATATTTTGAAATACTACTGGATTGGCACTCTTTGCCGTATGTCTGAAAAAATGTATATAAAAAGTAAAAGCATAACTCTCGAGAAGAGTCGTATATTGATGCTAAGTTTGTATAATCCATGAAATTTTATAGTATATGTATCACATAGAATCACGTTACTGTAGCTAAACTCGATACGCATCCACGTTTGTTTCTCGGAGTAATAACACAGAGTGACTCCTGACTTCCATTGCGCATTCTTTTTTCGATCTTATTCTCGTTTACGAAGACAAAAGACGCAGCTACATTAAATGAGTAAGACAAAAGCAAAGCTCCATTAAAGGTAACATAACCGCGTGATATCTTTAGCAGGCAACAATAATAATTCTCTTTGTAAAACGCGACGTAAATGTGGAAGGTATTTCAATACCCGCGCAGTTACGTAGAATAAACGATGAAAGGAGTTTAATGCTTTCCTTAAACGCTAAACACTCTATTAATTATTTGAGATGTGCACGATTATAGTTCAGTTAAATAATATATCATATAGGAACGAAGTACTTATCTCTCAAATCATATATTTATTTGAAGAAGATTTATGCTATACATTTGAAGATAAATTTTATTTTAAAATTATTGTATTAAGAACATCACAAGTTTTTTTTTGTAATTGATAATAAGAGAAAAGCTCCAATTACGAACTGAAAAGAATAAATAAAAAAAAATTTAGAAATTTTGATATTATAGTTATTATATGTGCCATTAAAAATATTTCGATTGATGTATTAATTCATGTCGCTTTTTATTTCAGATCACCAAGGACAGTGGGCTATACAAAATACGGCATTATCAAACTTCTCACGACAACGTGACACAATCTGTAACGTCGTTCATCGAATTTAGAGTGACAAACAGTATGTTTCGTAAACTACACTTACATCTGCGATGCACGGTCTTCATTTCAGACGTTTATCGAAAATCAGTAGATATTGAAATCCCTGAAGACACACCTCGTATTGCATCGATCACCGGCGACTCACCACCGTATGGTCACCGTAAGTACTCATTGACTTCCACTGTATTGTTCTCTATTTCCAAGCAGAACAGGCCACAATAAAGTCAAAATGACATTAAAATAAACGGTGACTGCGTTTAAAAAAATGATTTTTAATATTCACTTTGAAGCTCAGCATTTGTAAGCGAATAAATAGTTATCATCAAGCTTGTAACGAACACGTAAGTTTGACTGGCGAAGTTTTTCAAGATAGAAATGAGGAGCAACGATAAACAGAAAGTCTATCACGTAGCGAGAATATTTTCTGAGTCGTATATTGATGCTTTGTCATGACATCGAATCAATGCAGCATCGAGATAGTAATACAATCAACCATCTCTGACGGTAGGAAACCATGGAACTAGAGCGAACATTAGTTCGATATACGTACTGCGATTGGTGGTTGTCAAGCGCGCTTATACGAGTCGCGCGATATTATTGAACTGAACAAAGTTCATTGATCAAGCTAAATGGGACGAATGCGAACAGGCGTAAATACTCTTTCTGTGTGCAAATAACGCAACGGCAAATCGAACGAGTCGCGCAGTTCGCTCTCAAAGTTAACGAGGCACGAAGTCATGCTTTTTATCCTTTGTCTAGAATACAAAGGTTTCTATCAAATACAGAATTACTGATTCACAAGACGAGAAATGCATTCGAGAGACAAAACGAAAAGCGTATACAATAGTAACTTACGATAGTGGAGTAATATTGATATTACAAGTTCGATTCTATATCGTTTTCATTTACAAGAATTTTATAAAACATATTGTACATTTTTTATCCACGTAGTTTTTATGACGAATATTTAATCTCCGATAGTCGCATGCAGTTTCGCGAAATACGATTGTACGGGCAACAAAACGTGACGACTCTTGGAAGAAACGTTTTCTGAGACAAGTGCAATAAAGCTACACAGCAACAAAAACATTTATGATTCCACGACTCCATGAATGTATCGAGTCGTATGCAATCTTTCACGTGAATCACGCCGCCCAACGACAGTTATGTCCTCTTTCTAGCCGTATCAAGCCGGTCACCGAGAAGCCGTAGGGGCTATGATTGTTCCAGCTGAAAAAGCATAGCCGTTATCCAGTTACAGAAAATGGTCTCGCATCCGTCTTCCCGATCGCATCACTCCACGCGACGCTCCTGTCACTCCGATTTAATGCGTGTCTTATTTCCAACCCCCGTCTCACATGCAGTCGCACGTAAACGCTATACCACTAAAGCAAATTCGTTCCCCTTCGAATAGCGATAGGATGACTCATGATGATATCTCTCGTTGCGAACGTATGGATAACCAATCTCTATTTATATATTTTATGTAATAAAGCAATTGATAACGTGAAAGTGTCATTAGGGTTCTAGTAAAAGTTTCTACTAAGAATTCTATTTTTGCCTAACAAGATTATATTGAGTCGTTACCGTTGTTAATTAAAGTTAATTATTATACAAAGCACGTTGCACTTTGTAATTGCACTAATCTGCGAATAGATATCATTGTCTGGACAAAACAAAATGCGTTTTCAATCTGAATATTGATACTTTTGTATAGCAAAAAAGTTCAAATTTAGAATAAAAATTTACTGCCGATGTTTTAACGTCATGAAAATTCTCAAAATCATTGTTTTTTTGATACCATTTTTTTTTTAACTGTGACATGATAACTAAATTGGACAATAAATTCGTGATCAAAATCTGACAATATATTAAAAACAGTTGAAATAATAAAAATGTTTTTTATTGTAGACTAGTAGAGGACACCATGCAACAGCCCAACAACTAGCACTCTTTAAACAAAAAAAATCTAAATAATCCATAAAAGTAGAGACAAAATCTATCATCGGTGTTTGTTGTGCAATGTCAAGTTATTTATATTTTTATACACATTTTGGAGTTTAGAAAAGATTATTTCGGTCGTATAATGAAACTTCACGATTATTAAAAAATCACGAATATTGTGTATTTTCATGTAATTAGTCACTGTATCAGAAAATGATAAAACTAAAGCGACTAAAACAGAGCAAAATAAAAATATTCTTAATCGGAAATAGCTTATAGGACTTCGCACTAATTATATAGAAAATTGAGTTCCGAAAGAAATAAATTTATTTTCACATGTTATATGCTTAGTGCTTACAATGTGGTGAACAAAAGATAATACAAACACAAGTCTTAATAATAGATAGTAAGCTGTAATAATACTCTGTGAACACAAGTTACATATTTTACATATCATAGTTTAAAAACTACCTATTAATTAAATCACATGTAAATAGCATTTTTGTTCACCACATTATAAACTACGTAAACACTAACTCATTTTACCGGGATGCAATTTCCATGTAATCAGTGCGAGGTTCATTCCTTCTTTCTTTTTTCAACTATTTTCTATAATTTTATTTATAAATATTAATGAAAAAAATGTAATAATTTTTTAAGAAAAAAAATTGAAAATGTTTAGTGACTTTTGACAAAAATATAATTTTTCATTATTTTTCGTCTATTCTAATTTTTATTTTATTATTTTCTTATTTAGCGACCAATTTTACATAGAAATACATAATTTTCAGATTGCAAAAGTTCATTTTGCATCACAGCTAAAATGACCCATTCTAAACTTCAAATATCCATTTAAAAACACAAACAACTATATCGCTAAATAGAACATTTTATTTTCTTATAGATATTTCGATTTTTTCGTATATTAAAAAATTATTTTGCACGGCGTTATCAATCATACCTAAGACTTATCCCTATTGAAATCGATCCGGTTCCTGTAAGGGAACGAGCCTTAAAAGAAGTATCGTGACAATGTTAAGAAAGTTTATAGAGACTTCTGCGCGCCTTTCTGCCGGAAGAGATTTACTTAAGACTGATAAAAGACTGTACTATTTTTCTAAAGATTTTTAAATTACCAAGCGGTTTATAAATAGGGGATTATAGCAAGACGGCAACGCTATGTTATACACACCATATTTCCTTTACGCACACAAAGCAGGAAAACTTTCTGAAGATCCTTCGCCGCAAACCATTAATCAATGACGAGGAGGGTAAGGCCGAGTTACCAAGTTATTTGATTGACACCATAAAGATCGTTAATAGCAAGAGTGCCATCGTATCAACGCGAGTGGCGTATACATTTATCACAATGTCGGTAACAGCAATTTACACAAACACAGGTATATGGAATATCCCACAGTTTGCGTAATTCAACGATGATTAAACTGCGCCTCATTACAAGAGGTAACAAAATGTAATTGAAATCGCTTGTTGGCCGATATCGATCTTGCCTGTCAACGCCTATTTATCCGCATAACAGACGAGAGCTATTCTTCTCAGAGCCATTTTTATGTAAAATATATCCAAGAGTGTGTTTGAGTATTAATTAAAACTCTGACGCGAATGAAATATCTCGGTGGCGGCGCATCGTTTTATCGCATGATAATATCATGCGCGGGGAATATTAAATAATAAAATAAGAACAACGCGACCGATTATGACTCAGGATTATTTCCGCGGTGTAAAGACCAGACGGCGCAGGAACCAGCTATTTCTCTCGCCTCTGAAATTGTCGGCTCACTTATTAGGTTCTTCCCTTCTCGGCCGAAGTCTCTGGCGCTATTAATCAATGAGGAATTCAGCAATTAACGCTCCGGTTTTATTAACGTGTCACTGGAGCTCCATTGCACGTGGCGTGTTTGCATGTGCGTACAAATAATATTTATGGAAGCATTTTAAAATATCAGTTTATATTTGTTTCTTCCACATACATGATTTTGTGATGTAGTATCACGAAATGTGTTTAAAAAATATTCAGAATCAGCGAGGTCAACGAAAAATAACTACCGTACAATGTAGTAAATTTAACCCAAAATCGGGATAACTTTGAACTAAATTTCAACAATACATATCTCCGTAAATTCTAATCCATCTGATCCAGGATTAAGTCCATCTGGATTTATGTAAGATCTTTTAAAAACGTTTTAAAGACGTTTGAAATACATCTTATAGCGATTGAACGCACTCAGTGCGCATTGCTATTAATTAAATATTAAAGCCGTCGTCAGATTAATGTGTTATTTAATATAAATTTTATTTTTTTTATATTTAGAGTTAAATCAGAATACGACTTTTAATATACATCAATGCACACTAGTGCGTCTAACCGAATTCGCTATTATGTTCTGATTTTTGACATGCCTGTCTAGTTATTTTGTTTAATTTGGGCCAAAGTTATTTCGACTGGGCCAAATTTATCGCAATTATGACACGTAATGTAAAAGAACAATGTCCAGAACAGTACGATCGTAAAGTTACGAAGACCAAATACACACCTTAAACTTTCTTACTACTAGAGTAAGAAGAGTTATCTCCCCCTTACCCTCCCCCTCCTCTCCCAAAGGAGCTATTAAATAAATTTATGTCGATATCCTAGAAAAATTGGTCGTTGCTGGTAAATTCAATCCGTACCGGAGCACACTCTCGTCGCCGTTAATCGTAGATCAACTCGACAAAATCGGATCGAAAACCTTCGTCCTGAATACACGCCGAGGGAGGAAAAATCTATCTCGGGAGCCTGGTGTAGATCGCAACGAGGGCGAATCGTTTACGAGCGACCGGATGGTTCCTTCGGGAAGAGCAGCGGTTCCCAGTAATGCGCTTTTGCGGAGGAACGAATGAGGAACTCGCGTTTACGATTTACGTCGTTACGATTACAGCGAGATTTCACGAGGCCGAAGCCGCCCGACAATATCCGTACGTGGAGGCGCGATAAAACTGCAACCGGGTTATATCGCTCTCGGAATCGGGGATTTCATCTACGCCGACGGCGCGGCGTCGGTGCCTATACTCCTCGTCGATACCATTACTCCGCACTAAAAGAAGCGTAAACGTGGCATTAGGACTAGCGCAAGTACACTCGCACCATTTACCATCCCGCGCGCGCTATATACGCGTCGCGCATTTTGTTCCTCTTTTACACCATCACTGAGACGC